CTTGGACGCCATCAACTCGAAGGTATTCGACGGCGCGATCGGACTACACGTTGACGACATGCTCGGCGGCGGCAGCAACCAGGATGGCAAGGCATGCTTCTCGGCGCGCGTGAAGGAGCTCAAGAAGGTTTTCAACTTCAGGACGTGGGATGACATGACACCGAGAAGGGCACGCTGAACGTAGCGGGTGACGCCTCGATGGATTTCTGCGGGAACCAGCTCACAAAGACGACGACCGGCGACTATCAGATGAGTTGTGGAGCCTACATCAAATCGCTCAAGCCAATCACCGTGACCAAGAACCGAGCGGGCGACCAGAAGATGTCTATCACCGAAGGCGAGCGTCGACAGCTACGAGGACTGATGGGAAGCTTGGCGTGGCCCAGCAATCAGGCAGCGCCACACTTGCAGTGCAGCGTTAGCCTGGGACAAGGTACGATCAACGAGGGCTCTACCGTGCAAGACATGGTGGAGGCCAACAAGACGCTGAGGGTTGCCAAGGCCAACAGCGACGTGTGCCAAGTATTTCCCAAGATATGCGACGACCCGGACAAGGTGACGTTCATTTGCATGACGGACGCAGCGTGGGCAGTTCGACGTGATGGGAGCTCGCAAGGAGGCTACCTCATCCTGGCTACTCACAGGCGCGTGCTCAGCGGCGAGACCGTCAAGTACGTGATCGTCGACTGGCGCTCGTGAAAGCTACCGAGGGTAAGTAGATCCTCACTGGCGAGCGAGGCTCAAGCTGCAGCCGGAGGCGTGGACGCGCTCGAGCACGTGAAGGTGCACTACAGCTTGATGCTCGACCCCACGCGGGGCCCGAGGCTGAACGGCACCATGACGGTGCTGGGCAAGAGTGCCCTCGTGGTGGACGCGAAGGCTCTCTACGACGCAGCCCAGAAGCCTCACGTGCACAACTTCGACGACAAGCGGACGGGCATCGAGGTGCAGGTGCTCAAGGAGCGCATGACGGCGAGCGCGACGGGCTGGTGCTGGGTCAGCTCGGATCGCCAGTTTGCAGACGGCTTCACCAAGCTGGCAGCGCGACAGTTGTTGGCAGATGGACTCAGGTCGGGAACGATCAGCCTCAGGTTCGACGAGAAGTTCCAGGCCGCCAAGAAGAAGACCGCTAAGGACCGACAAGCGGAGGCCAAGAGGTTCGCCATATCTAAGCCGAAGACCAACGCGATGACTGCTCCAGCGACCATGACGTCCATGACGACAGCGGCGGCCAGCGAGGTGAAGATCTACGAGAGCGAGGCCCTGGTGGAGTTCAAGTGGACCGAGAGCCAGAGGATTGTGATCAGCATACCACTCAGCACGTTCGTGAGAGGTCTCCTCAGCATGATGATGGTGCTCGTGCTTTTGGGTTTCGTGTGCTGCGCAGTGCTCAAGGCTGCAGGAACGTTGAGGCCGGTCCCGGCTTCTCCAGAGCCAGTCAGTGAGAAGGAGTTTGTACCAACCAAGACCCCGAAGGAGAAGAAGGTGAAGTTGAGTACGGTCAAGTGGGACATTGGTTGCCAGGGACCGGTCAACTACACGAGTGTTGGACGACCCGACGGACAGTACGGACAGTACAAACATGTGACGAACGGATTTCGGCGAGGCTGGGAGGTTACCCGTGAGCTGCACACTGAGCAGCAGAAGCCGCACCATGAGTGACGGTGCCCCGGCAAATCTTGATTTGCATCCTGTCCCAGTCTCGTGCCTTTTCTTTTTCCTCATTCTCTCAATGAAGCTATTTCAGCAGAGGTATGCGACTACGTTGTTTGGCGCAATTTCTCTCGAGCAAGGCAGAGTTGGTGTCCGGACGCCAGTTTGGGCGGTCGAACCGACGCTAATGATCTGCGAGCTGCTGTGGTGCTTCTTTTATGTTTCACGTAATCGAGGTGAGAGTTTTACAAGTTTTCATTCCCTTTCTTACCAGTGTGAATTGCACTCCGTGCAATGTGTTTTCAGAGGTGCTTCTGACTAACATGTTAGAGCAAGCACCCTCCCCCCTCAGCAGCGTGGCAGCATGTGTAACGCAGGCATGGCAGTTCGCAGGATGCACTGTGCCATTTGAGCTCGAGAAGCCTCTCGACTGACCAGAAACGCTATCTTCACCCTTCCCGCACGCAGAGCGATTGTGGACCAGGGTGCTCGAGGAGAAGTTGGCAGGTTTCGGACTTCGATTCGAATACGATTGGAGACTTAGAGTGCTTCGACCAATTCACACCGGGCAATCCCGACCCTTTCACCAAGGTCGGCTTTTCGTCCCTGGAGGCCTAAGGCCTGGGCTAGGGAAGCATCAAAAAGCCTCCAGCCTCAAACCTCGAACTTATTAACCAGGCACGCCGAAAGCAGCCCAGCATCCGCCGAAACGAAACTCCACCACCGCCATGTTCCACTCCAGCACTCTCATCTTCACCTTCCTCTTCAATCCGCCCTCCAAACCCCGTCGTTGCTTCTCCTCCTCCTCCTCTTTCCAATTGCCGCCCCCCTCCTCCTCCTCCTCCTC